CAGTGATCAAAAGATAAAATAAATACAAATGTAGCACCTTCAACTCATACCAATTTAAAACATTCAGCGTTAGATAACTGACCTAAACAATTAATCAGTCAAAAGCACATTTGGGAATGTCTCTCCAAAGGCTATTATAATTGGCTAAAATTTAATTTTTTAGTTATTAAATCTTATTAAAGTCTTTTTAAAAAAATAAACTGCACTGGATTTATGTACAAAACAAAACCTCTAATATCTATCAAATTAGTGGTAACCAAATTTATTAAATATAAATATTTGGGGGCAAATCATCCAGAAAGTTAGCCTACATTAAAAGAGTACAGCAGTAAAGACAGTAAGAGCTGCAAGTGTTCTTTCTTAAGATCATCTTTAAAAAAACAAATTTAAGTTCAATTGCCTTGTCCAACCAATTCCTTTAAGCTTTATAGTAACCTAAAATCCAAATATTTCTCCAATGAACTTACATACCAATTCCTCAATTAATTTTTTTCAGTTGATGCAATCATACTTGACATGCTTGATTTGTAATTTGGCATGTTTTTCTTAAAGTTTACTTGAATGAGAGAATTTAAACATTATAATTTCTTGGTTAGATAATATTAAAATTGATGAGGATCATAGATTCATCTAAAATAACAGAAACTTCTAATTATGGAGTTAATATTAAAAATGGTTTGCATTTTCCACATGAGAAAACTTTTGTCAACATTTCTCATCACAACAGTAAGCTATACAAATTGAGTTTCAATAATTTTCACTGTTGATAATTTTTACAGGACTATTTTCCCATTAATGTTTGAAAATTACGAAGTGCATTTTTTTATGTCATCAAATTAGTTACAGAATATCTATGGTAAAACTGTAGGAAATTTAACATTTCTTGCCCAGGATGCACCTGCTCTATGCTGCCCACTACAGGAACTGCAATACGTTATAGAGAAATGGGATACTCTCCATTAGGGTTACTTTCAGGGCAAAAATATTCGCTGGGCAGTTGGGTGCCAAGATAAGGTATTCTTGCAAGAGATACAGACTGATTAGTGGTAACCAAATTTATTAAATATAAAGAACATCAGTAGGAATAGACATGACCAGAAACTATCTTGGTAAATCACACCCATGGAGCAGCATCCAGGGTGCGGCAGGGGATGGGCATGGAGCTTAGTGATAGGCGCAGGCTGCAGACACACACGGTTCTGCATTAAAGAGGACATATGAGCATCAAAATCAATAAGACATTAAAAAAAAAAAAAGAGGTCATATAAAAGTACAAATGATTGCCTCCACTCGGAAAAAAAAATCTTAAATCAATTATTTGTGTAGTTAATGTTTCATCAAATGAATTTCCTTTTTTCCTTAAAACTATTACGTCCATTCCTTTTACAAGCAAATACCGTTAATAGTAAGCTTATTTTTGCCTTACATTTTTCTAGTCGTGGGGAAGGTGAACCACATAGTGATGTGATCATCATCAGGGTTTTTTATTATTATTATTATTATTTTTTTCTTGGACGAGAGCGTATCCAAAGTGTTAAGAATTTAAATTCTATCCTTCAGACATACTTCAGGAATCCATTTCATAGATGGCAGCTTCTTCTGCAGAAAGGGAATTTTTTTTTTTCCCAGCGTCAATTCTCCAGGTTCATGTCACATCTTAAATTTCAAAGAAATTTCAAAAACGTTAGCATCACACTCCAGATCTTTAGCCTCGGCACCTGTGCTGGAAGGGAAAGCACACCCCTGTACACGCAGGTGTGTACACACACACACACACACACACACACACACACACACACACACTCATAGCAAGCAGCCAGTGGCTTAAAAGTGGTTACCACCCCTTGAAAAATTAAAATAAAATAAAATGTCACTCCTCCATTCCGCCCTCGGAAGGAGAAAGGCAAGTTAGGTTTGCCCACTGCAGAGTGAGCTCCTAGCACAGACTTCCCATCGTCTGACCTGAGACCTTCACACACACACCCCGGGCCCCGAACCGGAGGACAGAACGGTCCTGGCAGGAGCCCTCGCTGCACCCCGGCCGCGTCCACACCAGCCGGCCCGGCTCGCGGAGCCCCCGGCGCAGGGCTGCCCGCTCCCGGCTGCGCGGTTCCCGAAGCGGGTCCTCCGGAGCCCCCGACTCCGACGAGGGGGTACCGACCGGGCCGCGAACGCTGGCGCTTAAAAGCCACCGAAACAGTCTCGCTGCCCCGGGGGCGCGGCAGCGAAGGCCGGTGCGGCTCCGCGTCGCCCGCTCCCGGTCCCGGTCCGTCCCCTCGGCGGCCGGGCGGCCCTGCGCGGCGGGAGAAGCCACCAGAGACGCCGCGGCGAGTCCCCGGACAAGTCCACCGCAGCTCGCCTTCTCCCCTCAGTTACAATTACCCGGAGGCTTCTGGCGTTTCCTTCGAGAACATGGGAGAAAAAAATATATATATATTTTAAAAAAAAGAGCATTGGTAGAGGCTCTGGAAGGCGCTGACATGTTCCCGTCGAACGAGATTCCCCCTCGACTCCATCCCTTCAGCGGATTCCCAAACTCAGACGCATCCTCCGCGGAGCTCTCCCATGTTGACAGACCTCTCGCCTCCCACAAAATGGGGCCGAGGCGGCGGCCGCCGGCTGCTCTATGGGCGCCGCCATTTTGTGAGGCGGCGGCGGCCGGCCGGGTGTGTGTAATGGTTGAATAGAAGGACCCCCTCCAGGGAATCCCCGCGCTGACGGTTACGTAAGGGGCGGCGCTCAGGGACTCCGCACCGCCAGGCCCGCCGCGCTGCGGCCCGCGCCGCCGCCCCTGGAGGACCGGCCCGGGGAAGGGACGGGCGGCCGGGCCCCTCTCCCGCCCCCCCGCCCCCCCACCCCCATCGCCGCTGGCCCCGGCCGCCGGCTCCACTCCCCCCGGCCGCGTCCCCGCCCCTCCGCGCGGCGCCTGGCGGGACGGCCACTGGCCCTCGGGTGTCAGGAACCTCCTCGCCGCAGCCTCCTCCCGACCCCGCGGAGGAGACAAACTTTCCCTGGGAAAGGAAGCCCGTTTCCTAGAGGGAGCGCCGGCGGCGGCCGCGCCGCGTCCCACGACCTCTCCCTGCGTCGGGGACGTGTTCCCGGCGGAGCCACCTCGCGGGGCCGGCGCCCCCCGCCCGGACTCGGCCCGGCCCGTGACCTTGGGCGGCGGGTGACGGTGCCCGCAGGGGCCTTCCCTGGCTTGGGGACGACGGAGACCCTTCCCCGCGGGGGACGGCGCTTCGTGGACGTGGGGAGCCCCAGGGTCGAGTCCAACACCCTTGGAAATAAATGCAAACTTAGCATCGGCGGAGATGTTGGGGCTCTCATTGTGGCACCCCCCCCCCCCCGGTTTTGTTTACCTTCAAACATATTTAAACGGGGATCACCTTTAAGACATCCCAGAGAAAAAGCACGGTTCAATATTTGTTTTAGGCACATTTATCATTCATCTTCCTTAATATAAATAGACACGTTAATTATTGTCCAAGTTCAAAAGATTGCTCCCCAACCAGCTTAATTACCGGCTGCCCAGCTCCGCACAGCATCGGGATGGATACGGGGAGCCGAGCCCAGGCCGTCAGGGTGGACCAAGAGCCTGGGTCTGCGGCCACCGAGCCAGGGCCGTTCACACCGCATTTCAGGTCTAGTTTGCTCAAGTTGGTGGGTAATTCAGGGAAAATGTGTGCTAACCATCCCCCCAAATACTAGCACAACGCTTAAAAAAATTTTTTTTAAAAAAAGCTGACTCCTTTAGACCTTGAAAAAAAAAAAAAAAAAAAGAGGGAACAACTTGACTTTATTCCAATCTGTGGCTGATGCGGATCGTGCGGAGCTGCCCCCCGCGCCCGGCTCTGCTCCCCAGCGCCGGGCGGGCCGCGGGGTGGGCCAGGGGCGCCTGGCGGGCGGCCCTCCCAGCGGCCTGGCCCGGGAGCCAACGTCGCCTCCGCCCCCAGCCCGGGAGCAGCCGGTAGTGGCCGTTTCCCTCGCCGCCCCCCTTCCCGCCGGCTTTGTGTGCGTGTGAAATGTGCGGCACATTGCAGATGAACCCTAAACCCGGCCAGCCGAGTCTATTGTTCCCCGCGAGGAGCTGCCGGGGCGGTGCGGAGCCGGGCGCAGTGCCGCGGCCGGCCCTCGGGGGGCGCTGTGCGGCGCAGCTGCGGGCCGTGGCGGCGGCGGCGGCGGCGGCCGCGAGGAAGGCTGACGGGGAGGGAGGGCAGCGGGCGGCGGCGCGGAGCAGCTCGGCTGCCGCGGCCGGTGCCTTCCGCTCCGGGCGCCCCGGCCGCCTCGGCCGAGGCTGCGCGTGAATGTGTGCGAGGGCCCCGCGGAGCCGCGGCCGGAACACACGCTGTCACCCCGCTTTTCACAAACCACCACACAGACCTCCCCCTCCCCACCCCCAGCCCCGCCTGCCCCAGCCCCGCCGCCGCCGCCGCCGCCGCCGCCGCCGCCGCCGCCGAAACTCCCGGGCCGCCAGCCTCCCGACCCTCACCGTCCGCTCGCCCATCCCCTCGCCCGCCCGCCCGCCCGCCCGCGCGCCCCCCGGCAGCAGCACCATGTTGAATCGCGGCCCCAGGCCGAGCCGCCCGAGCCGGCGGCGCTGAGAGGCGGGCGAGAGCGGGCCGCGGGGCGGGAGGGAAGGCAGGGGTGGGGGCCGCGCTCGCCCCGCCGCCTCGCGCGGATCCGGCAGTCGCCTGCCCCTCTAGTTTCGCTCCGATTTCTTTAAACTTTTTTAGAAATCCCCCCTCCCTCCTTTCCCTCCGGTCCCCCCAGGCCTCCCGCTCCCTCCTTCCCCTCCTCCTCCTCCTCCTCCCCCTCCCTCCTCCCTCCCTGCGCCGCCGCCGCCGCCGCCGCCGCCGCCGCCGCCACCGCCGGCCCATGACTGCGCCCCGCCGCCGCCGGCCGAGGAATGGGCTCCGGGCTCTGGTAGGGAGCGCGGGGAGCGGGGGGCGCTTCTAAAACACCGATCTGGGTTTTTTTCGAAAACCTCCTTTGAAAAAATAATGGCAAACTCGACGGGGAAGGCGCCTCCGGACGAGCGGAGAAAGGGACTGGCTTTCCTGGACGAGCTGCGGCAGTTCCACCACAGCCGAGGGTGAGAGCAGGACCGGGGGGGCAGCGCCGGGCGAGCCGGGGCGAACGGACGGGGGCTCCCGGCCGGGGCGCGGGGTCCCGGCTGACAAGTGCGGGGGGGCTCCCTCTCTCTCTCTCTCTCTCGCCCACAGGTCGCCTTTTAAGAAAATCCCCGCGGTGGGTGGGAAGGAGCTGGATCTGCACGGTCTCTACACCAGAGTGACTACTTTAGGAGGATTCGCGAAGGTGAGTGGAAGTTTTCATTCGTATTTCCCTCCCGCTGGCCTCCTCCGAAAAGTCTCCTTTGACCCCGGGGTGGGCGCCCGGGGCCGGGGGGTGGGGGGCGGCCCGCGGGGGGCCCGAGGCGTCCTGTTCGCTCGCAGCCGGCGGCTCGGAGGCGGACGGCGGCGGCGGCGGGGCTGTTTTCGGCCTGGTTGGCGGCCGGCGTGCGCGCGGCGGGCGGGCGGGCGGGCGGGCGCGGGGCCGGGGCGGGCGGCGGGCGGCCGGCCCGGCCCGCGGGGTCTGAGCGCCGCGGCGGGGAGCGCGGGGGGCGCCCGCCGGAGCCCCGCGCCCGCCCCGCGCCCGCCGCCCGCGCTCTCTGCCTCTCGCCGCCGCCGCCGCCGCCGCTCCGGCACAGGCGGAGACACAGGCTCACACAGACTCTGAGAGCAGTTTTCGTGCAACTCAAAATTAGCGCGGGCAGGTTTCACATCGATAATCGGCTGCGGAGCGATCCCGGCGGCCGGGGGCACGGCCTCGGCCCGGTCGCCCCGGGTTTCCCCGGCTAACAAAAGAAACCGGGACCTGTCTCCACATAGCCATCTTAGGCTTCAAGGCTAAGGCAGAAGCTGTAGGCCTCAGCGAAGGGCCTATGGAGATGGAGAGATCTGGGAGAGGGAGCCGGCTCGGCCCCGGCCCCGGGCCCCCCAGGACCCCGCGGGCGTCGCTGTCCGGAGCACGATTGATCCTTTTGAACTTTTTTTTTCTTTCTTTTTTTTCTTTTTGGTGTACACGGACCGCGTTGAGATGGAAAAGGGGGCGACCGCGGGACTTGCGATTGGTTATTGTCCGGGCTTCAAAAACAAAACAAACCCAACAGACCCCCTCTCCCGCTGCCCCCCGCAACACCAGTGCTGTGCGGTGTGAAATGCGGGGCTCTGGGAGGGGGCAGGGGGTGGGCAGCGGTGTGCAAGCCTTCTTCAGCTTAGGGACTCGGAAGGGTCGACCCCGAAACACCCACTGATGCCTGGGTATCTGCACATCTCTGTAGAATGGGTATTTATTTCGTGTTTAGGGGAGGGCTCTCTTGGACTGTGTGTGTTCAGACCAAGTGTGGTTGTGTCTTTAACAGGTTTCGGAGAAGAATCAGTGGGGAGAAATTGTTGAAGAGTTCAACTTTCCCAGAAGTTGTTCTAACGCTGCCTTTGCTTTAAAACAGTATTACTTGCGGTGAGTGGTACTGACTCTTGAGCAGTATTTGGAAATGAGGGACGTATGGGGAGATTTGTTTTTAGAAATAAAAAATAGAGCGCGCTCGCACGTGCACTCGCGCGAACACATACACACATACACACACACACACCACACACACACACACACACACCACACACACACACACACACACACACACACACACACACACACACAGCAAACCTTGCACACCAGTTTCTAAACGTCTGGGAAACATTAAATATCCACAGAGTGAGGTTTTAGGATGGTGGGAGCTTTCCTCACCTAATGTAGGATTGTTTACATTTTTTTTATACAGAATCCTTACAGGTGACACCCCACCTCCATCTTGACACACATTCTTTTGTGACATTGTTATTGATTGCTTGATAGCCAAAGAGGGGCAGAAAGGTGATGTTTAGTAAAAGAGTTAAGATAGTTAATGAAACTTTGTATCCCTTGGGAGAATTTTGTCTTTGTTTTGGAAACTTCTTTGTCTTTTTTAAAAATTCTGACTTTGAGATTTTTATAAAATGAAATCTCTTGTGTGGAACCTTGACACCGGAGTAGTTTTTCAGTGTAATATTTCTACATAGCATAACATGCTGGCGCCTGAGGTGACCAAGATTAATTTTTTAAAAAAAATATCAAGTCACTTAACTCTCAAAAGGATTATTATATAGTTAGAAGAATTAGGGATACTATGAAAGGAAATGCTTTGATTTGGATTTTTCTTTCATCCTCCCCTTTATTTTGACTTTATTTGACAAAGTAAATTTCTTATTCAGTTGGAATGTGATAAGTTTAGATGGTATATTTTATGATTCGGCTTTTTTTCTGCCAGTTGTTTTGTACCTTATTAATGAGGTTCTCTTTTATTTTTAATGTTTACTTAGCCATAGAGGGTCCTTAGTTGGTGGTGGTTATTTAAAACTAAAATATTGCTCTTTATATTTGTTACTTTGTAATAATGAGATTATAGGATAGCCTTTTTAAAATAATGTGGCTTCTGCATAAGTTGAGCTTGGCATTCATTATTGCTCCAAATGTAATAGCCCATAGTCTGTGTTATGTTTAGCATTCTGAAATAGGAATGTAGTAATTACACAGGTGTACTTCTATTGGCTATCATAGATTGAAGCTGAAGAGTTCACAGAACTCTTCATATCATAGGCTTGAAGCTGAAGAGTTCACAGAACTTTGTGGGTAGTTACTGAGCTATACAGAAGTCTGGAAAATATTAAATATGGTTGGTTGTTATCTACTGTGTGTCTGTGATGTGTGTTAGAGTACATTTTTAGATAAGGACTAAAACTGAAAGCAAGACAGAACAAAATTAATCTCCAAAACATTGCTTTAATAATAGAGTAAGTTGATACTTTTATTCTTAAAGTGATATTCAGTTGCTCATTTTCATACATAATATTGAAAGGAATACTCTTAATACACGCCCTGGCTTTCTGCTAATCAGTTTGAACCATTTGGATTTTAGACTGTTTAAAATACACATTTATAGTATACCTGATACTTACTGATTTGATTGATTGATTGAACTTTAATATCCATAAGGTGCTATATGATAGATATGGTTCATAAGATGTTCTTTCTGAAGAATTTACATTCATTCTATCAGAGTTTTAGACTTCCAATTTGTTACAAGTTACATACATATTGTTTTTCCAGTTTTAATTTCTATTTTGAGATCATATCCACTGGTTATACTTATACTGTTTTTAACTATATAGTTTCAAGGTTTGCAACTTTTTACATTGTTCTCAGATCAATTTGAGATATATGTTCTTATTAGAAGCTGCTTTTTGATTTGTGTCTTTAGCTAAACTTGTTTTCCTCCATATGTCACTCTCTAAGTTTGTTTTTATAGGATTGTAGCTAGGCTACTAGGAAAAAGGTTGAGCATTTGTTTTGGAAAATAAAACCATGTGAAGATTTGCATGGTTTCTAAAGAAATACCGAAGAAATACATTGGTCAAAAATTGGGTGCTACCAAACTTGATTTTTTTTTTTTTCATAGTGGTGTAATATTGCACAGTAGAGGACATGTATTATGCTGGATTTTACACCTTCCTCTGAAAAATCTTAACTGGCAGACAGGATGTTAAGCTTTCACAGTGATTCTGTTACTTAACCATAAAAGTGCCTCTTCATAGTAAGAAATAGTAGTCAAGTAACTTTGTAAGTTCCCTCTTTCATATATCAAATTGAATATCATAGTTTCTGATGAGCAGATAATGTGTTTTATAAATCATAGGTGGAATAATTTGACCTATTATAAGAGTGTACATATGATAGTTCTCATTTACTCTACAACGTTAATATTTGCTGACATTGCTCTGTTATTTTATTACTAGAGAAACAGTGCATAGATTCATGCACCGGTAGGGTCCCTCAGCCTGGCCTGCACCCTCTCACAATCCAGGACCTCTTAGGGGATGTTGGAGGCCCGGATTTGGTCCAATCCTTGCAAGCCAGGCCAAGAGACCCCACAGGTGCACGAATCATGCTCTGGGCCTCTAGTATGCATATGAGATCTTTGGTTAATCTCTTTCTGCCCTCCCCCCTACTCCCTTCCCTTTGAGATTCATCAGTCTGTTCCATGTTTCCATGCCTGTGAGTTGAGTGTCTGCCCACTGGTGGTCAGTGCTCACCATAGCTATCGGTCCAATGGTTGCTTAGGCATATATATATATATATAAATTGGAGAATGGCTGTTAGCCTAGTATTTTATGATATATCTTCATATATCTTGTTATCTACTGTGTGTCTGTGATGTGTGTTATACATGTGGCCATTTATATATTCTAACATTTTAAAGTTTGTTTTGATACAAACATACACAGTCATTAAATATAGAGACTTGAGTTTAGTGATCTGCCAAAAGTTAGCTTGATTGTATCAAACATGTAGATCGTCTACAGATTTCTCAAACTCTAAAATTAAATGATTATTTGTTTCAACGTTGGCATTTAATTTTAAAAATGTGTTTACTGATGTGTAAAAGTACTCTTTAAAAATTGATTATTAATCATCCATGATGTCTACATATTTTGTTTGTTCTTCATTCCTTTCTTGGCATGTACACCTCAATATATCCACAAAAGCTTATTATTAGATTATCCCTAAAGTGTAAATGCATAAGGTATAATTTCACAGTAGAGGACATGTATTATATTTCATAAATGGAGAAATTAAAGTGCAAAAAAAATCAAAATTGCATTGGGGCATTGATTAATTGGAAAGAAAAGTTATATCCCTTTCATGTATTTAATAATGTTTAATCTGTCTATTAGGAATTCAGTTTTTAGTCACAAATTATTTTAAGGAATTAAAATATAATTGGAAATTACATATGGTTAAACTTATGCCCAAGTGTATCTAAACCCATTGTATTCCTTATTTATTCTGTGAATTTTTGTTGTTCTGTTTTGGTATTAAGGTTGGGAGTAAAAATATTATTCTTATTTCCATCAAGAATTTGAAGCCTTGGTATGAAGATTTAGGTAAATATTTCAATACTTACTTGAAGAATTTTGTTTAACCTACTGACTCCAGTAGTACAGCTATAGTTGAGGCTAACTTGATGTTCCCATTATAAAACTTGATTTTTTTGAAAGGAAGTAAAATATCATAGACATTAAAAACTTATAGTACAAATTTATATGTTACTGGTTTTCTTATAACAATAAATGATTTTTTTAATCAATTTTATTTCTTTCCCCAGTCTCTTTCAGAATATTTTTATTGATTTCAGAGAGGAAGGAAGAGGGAGAGAGAGATAGAAACATAAATGATGAAAATGCACACCCTCTATTGGGGATCTATCTTGTAGCCTAGGCATGTGCCCTGACCCAGAATCAAACTGGGACCTCCTGGTTCAGAGGTCAGTGCTCAACCACTGAACCACGCCAGTTGGGCACATTAAGTGATTTTTTTTTTTTTTTTTTTTCTCATACCTACCTTTAGAATAGTCAGAAACTTAATTGTAGAATTCCACCCACCATAGTGAATTTTCAATTGCACTGTAAGTTTATTCTGTTCCCCTTGGTTGATAAAGCCCTTCCTAAGTTCTACCAATAGAGTTTACATTTATTAGTTAAATAGATGGATGTGCTCATGTGTTCTGTGGTTAGTGTTCACCATGTAGATCACTTCTTTTAAGAGAAAACCTTTTATGAATTATTTGAGGTTAATTGAAAGAATGCTTCAAGATTGTGATAAATATGCAAATGAAATAATACATTGAATTTGTGAGTTGATAAAATTTATAAACAGATTGCTTATTCAAGGAAGGAAAATAAAAATAATATGGAGACTGGAAGAACAACTATCTAAATAAGTTATTCATATATTTATTTAAATTTAATTTTTTAAACTGTGTCCTTTCATTTTGAGCAAATTTGATTTTGATATCCCCTGATATTCTGTTATACTTTAAAGGGCATGCAGATTTGTTCAAAGGAAGAATAGTATGTGGAGAAAGTTGACTGATCAGAGCTCAGCTAGGTTAGTGTTGTGTCTTACCATATTTTAAGCAGCTTAAATTTGCCCTAAAGAAGAAACAAATCTCTTTCCAAGATAGATAGTTTACTAAAGATAAAAATTTCACTGAAGATTCAAACTATGAACTCTTAACTCTCAAAAGTGTTTATATGCTTCCCCCCCCCCCATTTATGTTTTCTGCCTCAGATGTTAACTAAAAATGTCTATTTCTAAATAGGAGTACTCTTTAATAATGCCACCTCTACTCTGTTATCGATTCAGTATTCTCATAGTTGGTCATGTGTGACATCCACTGTAACTTTGATAGACAAGTATATTTCTTCTGTGACTCTTACATTCCCAAACTGAATGATTTTAGAAGTTGGAAAGGAAGGAAAAAGATAAATTTTAATTCATTGGAATTTAGGTGCATTAGTCAGCAAGCAAGTGATCAATACATATTTGTAGGTGAAGTAGAATACTTATATTACTCTAAAGTAGGT